GCTATGGAGTCCTTTCAGAGTACACTACAGCCGAAACGGCACCGGCGGTTCAAGAAATTGCGTTCCTCATCTGAAGTCATCCCTAGTCAGTCATTTGACGATATATGTTTTCGGTCACGAGGTAGTCCGGGCCAAGCATGGGAGTTGCCACCGTTTAGCAGATTTCATCCAAACTCCCATGTCGGCGTCGGCAGTTGTGGGAGATGGAAAATGTTTAAAATGCCATGCACTATCTTACCTAGGAATTGTTGTGGCGGCATCAACCTCCAAGACAGACCCCGTTTCGTCGAGGCCTCCGTCACCATTTTACACCCGGCGCCGTGACAGACGCGCCCTCCGCGCCCCGCATGAGCTTCAAGCCAACCCCGCGCTCAAACCGGAGGCCCGACTGGAGACCCCGCAAATCTTGCACATCAGATCCCTCCCCCCGCCCCGTGATTTTTGTGATTTTTTTTGTGATTTGCATCTTACGATAATGCCGTGTCGAGGATCCATTGTCGTGGAGAACTTTGAATTTAATTTGGCCGTGGCTCCCCTGTTTTGCATGGCTAGCATGCGTATCTGATGAAGCCACACGCTGGAGCCTGTGGGCTAGGGCTGGGGATCACTAACAGATATGTCTCAATTATAAGTCTGAAGCTGTTAGTACTACTGTAGATGATGCCGTGGGGAGGCAGGGTGGACCCGCCGCCTGCCTTGTCAGAATCTGATCTGTAAGCAGAGCCCGGTAACCCCTCATCACCGAGTCAATGCAAGACGAACCATCGTGACCATTGCAACTTCGCATCCCGAGCTTTCCCGTGGCAGAACACCTTGACGGCCAAATACGTGTCCAGCTACTGGTCGCCGGCGGCGATGAAGTCGCAACCGGCTACGGATCATGGTTCTCGAGACTCTCCCCGCAGCAACCCGTCATCGCTCTCCCGTGGTCGTCGGGCATCCACAGCACAGCAGGCCAGCAGGCAACTTTTCTAGGCCGAGAACAGAGCTTCAGGCGGACATCACGACCATGTTCAAGGTCACGCGACGTCTTTCTGTCCACTTGCTCAGCCTCCTTGCCCTGCTCTGGACACTCGGTACGCCTGTCTTGAAACGCCGTGATGGTTACCGGCGGCGAATATCAGCACTACACAAGCACGGCCACGAACATCACAGGTCTTTTTCATGCATGGTTCCAACTTCCAAGGTCCCTTTTCAAGCAAGCTCGCCACGACCTGTTGTCGGAAGTTCTCGTGATGAGTTGGGCAACAAAAGGGTCCATCCCCGTTCCCACCAACATGGAAAGCCAGGTGGACGCTTGGTAGAACGGTCCGAACGGTGGGGATGGGAGCGAGTAAGGTAAGTTCTGTCTCGGTGAAATAGTGGACGACCACAAAATAATCGGTAAAATTTCCGATTTTATCTTTGGCTCTTATTTTCATCGGAATACTTCAACCAAGTGGAGTTCTTAACCCTCCGTTGCGGCGTTCCCTGGTCCGGTCACGGTCGGCGGGTCGGATGGTCGTCGTTGACCCGCAAAGAACGGCGCGGGCATCACGGGACGGGCCCCGGGGGTGACATTCGGCTACGCGCCGGTCCCTAGCTCATCCATCATCTGACAACCACACACCACCACAACCACCCACCCACAGTTGCTAGGTAGTCTAGACGTTAGACAGTTGTCTATTTCTATCACTTCTCAGATCGCCGTGCTGACGGAGGGAACAAACAAGTTCCTGAAGATCTTTTCTTACAGGTACTCGCCCACCACAAGTACAGCATCTCAACGGTCTCCTTCGCTCAGTCTCACCGGGCCCTTGGACACGGCGGACAGCGAGTGGAAGCAAATTGCAATTACTTGATGATCATGTACTTGCTGTCTCACCTTGGGAATCATCCAATGCCTAGCTCGCCAGTTGACTTTTTGATCACAATTCAGAAAAGTTAGACTCGGGATGAGACGCTGACAGCCGTCCCGCCGTGTTTTTCCGAAATTATCATGTCATTGCCCACACACACACACACACTGTTGCCGTCTCGATGTGTATCTCAACCTCAGGAAAGCCTTATTTTTGCAGACTCTTGCTGGTCATGAGGCCTTCGTTAGTCGCGCCACGTCGACAAACATCTTCACGTTCCCCTCACGGGGAGAAGTCTCATGCTGTGACAAAGCGTGGGAGAAGTAAATTGCTGGCATAACTCGCATGCAGTGAGGTACAGTGCTGCAACTCACCCAAGAAGAAAATCAAATCCCCCCCAAAAGAGAGCGAAATACACATTACATACCAATCCCCGACGTTGCAGCATCTGATTGACGTCTCTCCTCTGATGGAGATCACTACGACTCAAGTCCCTACCTGCATTAATTCTCGCTGGCCATACATTAGTAAGGTATCATTAGGTACGATCCACGCTGAAGGATTCAAATCAATTGCCGAATCTCATTCTAGGCGCCTAAACTAACGAAACGGAACACCGGTAAGTGGTCCCTTGATATCTGTCAAAAGAAAAACCTCCCAAGAAAAAAAGAAAATACTCCAAGTCACGCACACAGAATCATCAACGAGTAGGCTTTCCCCGTTGCCGCTCAATATAGCCGATGCAAGAAGGGGCTTACGTGGGCATGGGCATGTGATGGTCCCCTAAACCAGACAGACAGACCCTTTACACTAAGACCCTGGTTCCTCTTCGTCTCCGCTGATGAACATAAGTGTAAGTATTGATTGGAGACTTTCAGCCCTATCAGAATATCGGAATCCTCTTTTCCATTTTACATACCTACGGTCTACACATTGTTGTGGTGTAACTGGCTACATCGACTAGCTACCTAATGACTCGAAGACAAAATGTCTACCTCCTCCAGGCAGCATCGCGTACTACTTGCTTTGAGCTGTTTGGGTTCAAGTGAGTCGTAACGGACATTTTATCAGACTCATTTCAGGCACCCTCAAAGGAAATTGTCCATACACTTATCCTTACCTTGCAGGTTACCTATCTTCAACTGAGGTGATGTACCTCCTATCAACTCCACGCATGGAAGTTACCAGTGCGGGGGGCGCCACCTCGCGAGAACCTTACTTTCTTAGGTAGGTAGGTAGCTAGCTGTGCCTCGGATCTCTAGCAGGTGAACTCTAGGCACACGCCCCGTTATACCAAAACCGTACCAATCGTAGCGCCAAAGTTTTCATCGCTTCCATGTTTTCTTTTCTTTTTTTCTCGCTGTTCAGGTATGACCAGGAGCCGGTGGGCGCGAACATCGCTAATTTAGCGCTGACTGCGTCTCTCGTGCGTGCCTGCCTGCGTGTGATCTTGAAGAATCTTTAAGAGTCTTCTTCAGGGTCCGAGACAAATATCCTTACTAGAGTGTGTGTGATATGTCTCAGTTAACACATCCCCTCAGCACAACCCCTCGGACCACTTCTAGATGCATTGGTTTCCGTGTTCGGAATACCCTACTTTACCTACTGAACCTTCGCGTGCAAGGCTACGCTACGCTAGGTATTCCTACCTCTAGGTAAGGAAACTATTTTCTATCGCTTAGAGAGGTGGTGTCTGGGCATAAAACAGGACCCTTGAAAACCGCCGGCGGCTGGCGCGTGTAATAAAGTGAAAGTGAAAGTGATGGTGGTTTGCCCCTGAATTGTTGACTGGGTTGGTCCTGGTGATCAGATGTGATATATCATGAAGGTGGTCACGATGTTAGTTGGGTAGGTAGTCTGGTAGTCTGGTATGTGTGCGTAGGTCGCTAAGTACGGTAGTAGAAAGCCAAGCGCTCCGCCGACACTGTAGCGATTCCGGGGATTATTCTAGACCTAGTGTAATGCTTGTCTCAGGGTCTGATGTTTGTTTGTTCAGCGATTTGTTCACGATGCTGAAAGTAAGGCGAACCCGGGGATGGAATACGAAAACCGTTCGAGGAAATGCTACTAACGTACCGTCAGTAACGGAGTCGACATCTTCCAGATGCACATGGCGTATTATTACATTGAAACTGAATTTACAACTCGATTTTGTTTACAAGCCCAGTTAGTTACCTGTCCTATGATGCGGTGCCTTCCTTTTCTGAGTCTACCCTACCTAATCCCGTACGCTTGGCTACAAGCTCAACCACTGCTTCTCTTTCTAGGTACCTAGAGGCAACCACAAGTACCTACCTAGGTATATTCTCGGGGCTTACCCATATCCTCCTCCGTATACACTGTAAAACATCTGTCTATACCCCAACTCTTCTTCGTCCACGTTCTTTAATCACCCGTGCTTTGACTGGTTGCGCGCCGAGTAGTACCTGTGTTAACCTGTGTTTGACCTGTGCCACGGGAGGAAGCCGGTGAAGGAGTCAAGTGGACGGTCTTTGGAAGGTGCTACAGACATGCGGATACGATTTTGTGCTATCGTCTACCTACGATGAAGCACGAAAAAGACAGAGGAAACATTGAACTCAGCAACGGCGTAAAGTAACGCAGTGGTAGAGGTGACGGGGGGGACGAGAGCTTCACTTGACATGTTTGTGTTTGTGTTTGTGTTTGTGTTGCTGCTCTGTGTTTAGCTAGTACCTCTAGAATAGGTATTTGATGGAATTGTGGGAAAACGTGGGGGGGAAAGGACTTGGGGGCAGAGATTTAGGTACTGTAACATTCATTCGAGGGTCCAAGGCTCATTCAATACACCCAGGCCTGGCCTTTTCTCGGAGTTGGATAAGTCAGGTATTCTTCGATAAGGGATAAAATGCCCAATTAATTTCCCATTATATCTCATGAACAATTATCAAGGTACTGGGCTCCTATCCAAGTGCCTACAGTGTACCTCTGAGAGATGTACCTACCTGACCAGCTACCCCGCGCCGCCTCACTCGCGATGCTACCTCCAGGACAAGGCAACAGCCAGTCGTTCGGCGCGCTGACATATATTATAACTTTTCAGCACTGCTACGCTGACATCTTTTTTTTATGGCCCGCCCCGCGTCAGAGTCGTTCCGCACCCCCGCGGGGGCATAGCACATAACCCTGGCACGCCTGGCTCGCCTAGAAACGGGACAACAGAATAACGGAGTGAGGCACAGCTGCTCTGAATAGAGTCATGTGCCCACCGTGGAGAAGTTCCAGATGTTTGATGGTCTGTTTTGGGAGTGATACCGAGCCCTTCCTCATGGGTGGTGATCGCGGGATTGATGTTGATGAAACGGCCGAGTCTGTCGCTTTGTCCCAGAAAAGGGTAGGAGCTCGTAGCTGAGTACCCTGAGGTGATCCAGGTTGGTCGCCGATCCAGGGAGCTGATCTTCTCATCACTTTATTTCCTGCGCTTGGCGTTGGTTAATGTTGCTGTGACAACTCCCGCCGACTGCGACTCCTTGCCAGTGAGCCGGACAAGGTACAAACAAGGCGGCGTTAGGTTGCCTGATCAGGAAGGCTGAAAAGGCTGTCCTGGGAAGGGCACAACGCGAGCAGCGCCCTGAACTTTAGCCAAGCGACCTACCGTTAGAGGATGTCACAGCCGCGTGTAACCATGAGCCCGAGCCCTTCCCCCGGAGATTCTCATGCATCCCGGCCGATAGTATCAAGTCGTTTGCCCATAGGTAGCTGGCGGTCAGGTATGCCCGGCGAGCACGTGCGAGGGGAAGCTCTCCTCTTTGGCCTCTTTACGCCCTCAAAGTATTAGCGAAGGTTAGTATAAACTCAAGGCAACCTTAGAAACAGGGCCGCTCTACTGCTGTTGCTGTCGAAGTTTACCCAATGCCTCGCTTATCAAAATTTGCCACCCCCCCTTTTGTCAGTTCATGCCACTGGAGCACCAACAAGACTCACGACGTAACCGCCGCGTGGGACGGAGGTTTCCACGGGAGGGATAGGATGCGGCTCAGCAGGAGTTGTGATCTCAGGTGACTGCTCATTTTCATGCTGGTTGCCGCGCTGTGCTCTTTTGGCCTCACCGTGTGCGTTTGGTCGAGATCTGAGCATTGGGTTCTGGCTTGAGGTTCTCCGAGGTAGTTCCAGTGTGGTTGTTGCTGGTTGGCAAGTCGAAAACTTCCATGGAAAAGTGAGGTGATTTCGAGGAAACATTCCATGTTTCGGTGATACGCTGCGAAGATATGCCATGAGCGTATTTTACTACCTGGAATACACCAACGTACAGTTTGGGTAAGTTTCGGCCACCAGAGTAGGAACAATTGTCCTGATGATCGGGTTAGGGTTAATGGAGGATACTAACCTTCACCACTTCGGGCATTTTCCATCAAAAGAAATCAAGGCCAGTACCTGCCCGAAAGATAAGTATATGATACAGCGCAATCAGAAGGATCAGTTATGAGTCAGCGGCTCATTATCTGACTCCAACTACCGACGGCAACGAGATGCGCCGACAATGCATGATCGCTTCCCCGGATGAGATGATGACCACCCTCCTGCTCGGTGCTGACGGATAGGTGAGCCGCGCCGTGCCATCGTTACCGCCTGACTGTTGTTAATGTGACCCAGAGCGGGTGGTGATGTTCTCAGGGTTTGATGAACTGCCTTGAAGGGTGATGGGATTTGAAAGGAACAGGCTCACCACTTTGCCCTCCCGCTGGCATGACGGTCGTCGTTTGGGAGGGCCGAAACGAGATGACTCTTGTCATCTGGTCTGCCGCACAAAGGAAGCCTACAGTACTTGCCTACTTACCCTGGCCTTGGGATACAGAAAGGCTGGTCTGGTAATAGTGGTCTACACTCAGAGACCCTACCGGTACTCTGTCTGTAAGAGGTGGAAGATCATTTGGCGATCATGCGTCCATGAGACCATCTCCAGACACTGGCTCGATTGATTCTCTGGTTTATTTCTCTCAGATCTTGAATAAGAACCAATCGAGAAGAACATGACATCGCACGCGTGATGGTCCCCATCGAATTGATGTTATGGTACATCCGTTGGTGGCGAAAGTGCCGAGCTGAAACGGAGGCCATCGAGGTACAGAGGCTGAATGTTTGCGAGATAAAATGGGTGAATTTAATTATAAACTTTCTATCACCATGTATAATGACTCGAAGGACGGTAGGTAGGCTGGCTTGACGGGCCGATTACTACTTCTCCTGCTTCGCCTCCAGGTCGGTGAGGTACACTAAAGACACCGACTGGTAAGAAGAGAAGTTCGGGAGGTTCCAGGCCCAGACCGCCTATGATGTCAGCTCGCACAGGCCGCAACTGCGAACAGCTGGGGTTTTAGCGGGGCGTGAGGGGAACTGTGGGGGTTCTGTCACTTGTCACTTCACCTTCATCCCACCAAAATCTCCTCCGATGCGGCAATCAGCTTACCCCTGACCAACCTTTTGGAGTTTATTTACACCACGTTTTGATATTAAGATATTTCATGTCGCGGAAGAGCGACGAATCACATTCAAATTCCCCAAGAAATAGGAATTGCTTGTTGCTAATAGGAAAGAAAATTCAAGAAAATACCCCTCATTGAGATCCATTGCTGAGAAGGAAGGGAGGCAAGAACGTCACGGTGCACCTCGCGCTAAGCATGTACCTACCCGATGTAAGGAAGGGTGAGAGGCTGCTCCTGCTTTGGCTGAGCTGGAACGCAATTTTCGATTGAAAACTTTGGGTTTGAATGCTAAATTCTTTGATTTCCGGGAATTATCGCCAATTAACATGCAGTGCTTGTGAGTTTTCTTTTTCCCAGCTTCCATCCCCGTATTCGTTGCGCCTCACCAATTACCCGCACAGTATTTCCAGGCACCTCCGTTTCTTGTGCGCCGGCGATGCTGATACAAGACAAGTACTACAACCAAGACATGTCATCACGAGGTCGTTTTACCACAAATACGCATGGCTCTTGAGGTTGCTTGGGCTGACGGACCTCGACTGATCTGGGGAGACACCATCAGCCCTAATGACGACTAAATCCAATGTTAGTGTCCACCATCTCGGCCGCGAGCGTAACGAGTTGTTGGCATCAGCCTAGTACAGACCAAAGGCTGCCCAGGTGCAAGACACTCCCGCTATTTTCACTTCCTTGATCTTGTCCAGCTCCTCAACGATTACCAAGTGGCTTCGGCTCTTCGCCCGAATCTTCCAGGAACCATCTTGTTCCATCTTCCTCGAGTCTGGCGTGAGCAACGGCGAAAAAATGGCCCACAAAGCGCCACAGCCAACATCCAACAGCCGCCATTGATTCATGTCCACGAATATTGGTTACCACTGGATTCCCAACTTCGACTCCTGACTTGGAGAACTAGGCTCGAATTCAGAGCGCATCGCCTGTTCGGCCTTGCTTCACTTCTCGATTGGTTCTGACTGTTCGTACAAAGGGCTGACCGGATATTACTTGTGCAGCCCGAGTATATCTTTAGGATGTCGTAACCCGTCCCAGATCGCTGGCATGCGTACGAAGCCTCGCCAATTCGCAGACATCGACCCGTTCATGGAGCACTTTACACTGCAGATATTACACTGGTGCTCGGCCCGCCGCCAGTGTCCTTGTTCTGGAATTTGAGCAACAAGCCTGAGATGGACAAGTGTTACTATCAAGGCCTCCAAAACCGTATTTGGTTATGGACGATGGCAACTGGCCGTTCCACAGGAGTCTTGGTGACTCGCCGCCCGCTCTTGCTTTGCAACTTGCCTGCTGGGCGACAGTTCGAAAGACTCCCACGTCATCTATCTGATTCGAGATATCTCAGCCACCATATATTTGGCTCGTCATGTGGACGAGCTTGTCCTCCATGGCCCCGGACTTGTCTTGAAGCCACCACGGACAACATGTTCTTCAGCGGCCATAGAAGGCCAAGACACTTCTCTTCTTCCCGGTTTACCCCGCTGCCTTGAGCTGGGATGTCTCATCCTCAAGACTCAATAGTGTTTTGGTATCGATTTCTCTCCTGTCAATGGCGCAGCCCTGTGTTGCCGTTTGATTTGGATTTCATTCACTTGACCTCCTCACCGTTGTGGCACGACATTGGGTCAACTTGCTTGTGTCACTGGTCCGACGCGACACTGCCACGAGAAGAAAGAGGGAGCCAGAGTGTTAAGAATACACGGCCCTCAATCCCTTCAACTCATCCCATGCCTTCAAGCTCCCATGCGGGTCAGTCCAGGTTCGAGACCAGAGTTCCATTTTTGCGAGTTTGACTCTTGTGTGATCATTCCTGCGATGAGATTCACTTAGTATTCCTGCCATACTACCCGGAGACTAGCAGTTCAAGCCCATGCTTGTACTTCCGCATGAACTCCGAATGTGGGGGGCAGAAGCGCCAGTTCATGCTGGTACTCGGTACGGATGTCGGGTGGCTGCCCCGGATCACATCAGGCGCATATACCGTGTCACACCAAGAGTACTAAGACACAGAATGGTACCGTTGCTCACACTCTGCTGATGCGGCTTTGCTCAATAATGTATCACTCTGAGCAGAAACGCTGATGTAATCCGGGCAAATGTCAGTGGGTGGGATTCCACACCAGAGATCTCTAACCATGGCACCTCCGCATTTCTTAGGAGTGTGCACATCTAATTTCCTCTCCATGGGGGTGTGGCTGCTGTTGTGTAGCCAGATCTCCATTGAGTTAACTCTCCATAATTACGACAATCCTCCGATACCCTCCGGATGGTTCTGTATGCTTCGAGAAGTATGTCCAGGATATCCGACCTTCAGCCTCATTGGTAAATTGCCTACGGGTTAGTTAGTAATCGTCAATTCATTTGTACCAGTCGTCGGAAACATTTACCCCTGGAAAGATATTGAATGAATCTATATCGCCTCAAGTAAGCTTTCGGGTGCCAGGGCCTTCGGGGAAGCTTGGAAATGACCGTCGACCGCCTTGAAACCCCACACGGTCCGTCCCCTTGATGGCTCATCTCGTTTCAACCTGAGAGTTGTATATGACCTGGGTTTGTAAGACGTTTTCCATTCTTTCGGCGAGCACGTCTGTGGCACAGCGATGGCCAGCGCGCATCGGCACAGTTCCGTGCCTTTTCATCATGTCTCAACTGGATGGTGAACCTCATCTGACCCATATGACAACGGTCTAAATCAAACCAGCAGCGCTCCATAGTTAGTTGTCCTCTCCAGGTCTGGAAGGATTGAACCAAAATAAGCTTCTGCCTTTCCACGTCCACGGAAACGGTTCTTGTACATATTACATTAACTGTAACTGGGTGCTTGCAGCCAAATAGTGTAGACCCTACCGACCATGATCGACGAAATTTCCGGGGTACTGTGCATAGATAGGGGTCCAGCATACACGTTATCCGGTACCGGCAGGCAGAGAACCAAGAAGGTGGTGATCACTTTCCCGGATCTGAGCTACTTACGGACATTAAGTACGCGGACTCTATTGGACACGCTATGGTTCAAAGCTCAAGTGTCTGTCATGAAAATATGACTATGAATAGGTGCATAAACCTATCAGCGTGTAATCACATAGAGCGAGCCAACCGCAAAAGTACCAGATCCCATCATACCCAGCTGAAAGAATAAAGCTCATCAAGTTCATTCACGTGCCTGACCATTAATCATACCAAGCCGACGTCGTGCCCTAGCCGTCCGTAGCTTAACGATTAGGCATCGCCTTTCCGTCGCGCTTAGGCTAAATGGGGCCGGATAAAAGGGAGACGGTTAGGGTTACCGGCGTTGTTAACTCAGAGTGCCAATGCCGAACGGCAGGCAGTCAGGGATGTCGACCAGGACTTGCTTTGAGTCTGGGGCGAGCCAGGTGCTTGGGGCCTGGCTTCTTCGTTGTTGCAATACTGGGTCTACCGGGTAACGGTATGAAAGCTGATTTGTTCAAGACCGAATGGAACTGAGTCCTGAGATGAACCGTGGGTTCCATGGTTGACAAGGGGATAACAAACGGAGGGAGCTTGGGATTTGGTTCGGAGTCTGGATACATAACTGTCGTTGTTGGAGGGGTCGTAAGGGTAGTGTTAGAATTCGGTAATTACGTACTTGGGGAGGCCAGAAAGATGTTCATACCTTCATAATCCTGTGAAGGTCTGATATTGAGTTCCTGGTCCTGTGACTCCGTGATGTTATGCCCTAGACCGGCATCTGACCTGTTGAGAATTGGGGAATCAGTGGGACCTGTCCG